ATAGCTCTTGTCGACACAACTGCCTATATCAAGGGATATGCCGACATTAAGGTCTTTAACATACTAGGATATGGTCACGAATATAATAATTTTCCATTTATTACCGAAGTCGTCAATAGAGGAAATTACGCAAAAATCTGCTTTCCAACAAAGGCAGGCTCCCCGTCATCATTGTATTTAGAAGGCGGCTTCTTAGAAGCAATGTGACGTCATAACATTGTTCATGATGTCATTTCACCACGACAAAGTGATATTTTACTCGGTGCATTTCGTATGAAAACAAATGACCCCTTGTTGGTTATAAGTATTGTTATCATCATTCTTTGAGGTTAATGTCACCCGTTGATTTCTTAATTGTATTTTTTGGCTGTGAACCTAATGTTTTCCTTAGCATACCCTTAACAATTAAATATCAACAAATTTGACTTTACTTTGATAATAACGAGCACATATGATTGATTCCTTGAAACAAATTGATACAATTCAATAGCATTTTTACCTTTATTTAAATTGCATCAATGAAATACAACAAATGAGTAGACAGATTGACTGCTATGTGGCAAGGAATAAGCAGGCGCCAGCGATTCATGATATCCTTAGCAAATTTAACATCAAATTTCCTCTCATAAAAATTACAGTAATATATAGTAATACGATGAAGAAAATAATACGAACCAGGTTAAACTGTGACAAGGCAATATATAAATGTATGATCGAAACATAAATCATAATAAATCACAAATGATCAAAACATCAAATTAACTTCAAATATGTCTTTGCGTCAACATTGAAAATAATTCCAAAATGAAGAAGAATAAACATACTTTTAAAAGCGTAAACAGACAATATCCTGTTATTTTTGGATATGCCATGAAGAACTTCAAAATGAAATAGAATTAACATTAAAATATGGAAAGCTATTGCTAGTAAAATATGTGCTTGCGTCAACAGTGAAAATAACTCCATAATGAAAACAACTAACACAAATAATCTCTTGTAGTTTTAAGACGTGCCACGGATAATTTCACAGCTGATGAATTTCACATGAAATTATAGAATCAACATTTTGAAAATCCGTAATGAAAAGGTTTTTGTCACAAAAACAACTATTACCCACGTCACATGTCGATATCTAAATTTCGCAATAATCCTCTGTGTAACCCTGCAAATTATCTTAACGTTACCGAAACTGTCATCGGATGCCTTGATACAAAATGCGAGCAAATTCCCTCCATCAGTTTGGGGATATCGCAAGAATACTCGCTGTGACCTTGAAAATTTTTCGAAAATCATTGAATTCGATTGGCGTTAGACGATACTCCCAACACATTTTGGTACTACTTTTAAGCAGAATATATTATTTCTTTCCTGAGTTATCGCCCTAACAATCTTTATATTAGCAAAACCCTCAGATTTTGCTGTGACCTTACAAATTATCTCAAGGTCACTAAATTCAACCGGTGTCGGTGAATCTCGTCACGACACCTTTAATACCAAATTTGAACAAAATCAATCATTTCTTGAATTATCCCCCTAACAAGCTTATATGATTTATGAAATTCAACGAAAAACGAACACACGCGTATTTACGAATGATTAAAACTGTTATTACAATTTACGTAAATATTTATTACATTTAACCGCAACTAAAAATTTTACAATTTACAATTTGCGTAATACAATTTACGTCATTTTTTTTACAATTTATGTATTTATTACAATTTACGTCAATTTTTATTACAATTTGCTGCAAGTAGTACAATTTACGTCAAGGGTTATTACAATTTGCGTATTACAATTTACGTCAATATTTTTACAATTTATGTATTTATTACAAGTTACGTCAAGGGTTATTAGAATTTGCTATTACAATTCGTCGTAACAGGCTTCATTGAGTAAATCAATTTCATATTTGGGAAAAGACACATTCAGTTGTTTAATTGGCCTCCGTTTTTCTAAAGATAAATCATAAATTTCCTCATAAATAGAATTGAACAAAATGTGAACAGGATTTTCAGGGCCCCTATTCTCGAAAGGATCCTAGCCCTAGGATATCCTAACTTTGATCCTAGGGTCTAGGATAGGTGCCCTACCTTATTCTCGAAACGTATCCTAGCTCTAGGATATCCTAACTTAGGACAAATACTAGGATAGGTTCTGACTTGTCCTTAGTCTATCTTAGTGGAAGTCAACATAGTGTGGTTCTTGTTTGTTCACCAATTTTGACGTTGTCAAACAAAATAACTCGCCTATAACTTACATTTGAATTTATAACAGCACACAGTTTTAATGTGTTACGAAGAGTTTATAGAGTTTATATTATCAATTTATCGGTAATGAATAGACACACTTGTTGCGATGCACATATTCTTCAGGTCTACAAAAGAGATTTGTATAATTCTTACCTATTCTTGGCGTTTTTAATCACAACATTGCTCTTTTCAGTCACATTACCGTGAAATGTCAATGTCAAGGCCAACTTGATAGGGGAAATAACTCCTGATTATTTCCTAGGTGAATTTTTCAGTCTGTGAGATGACGCATCATGAGAGTTCAAGTCATGATTTCATAAAAATACAAATACAATGAAAATATTTTTTGCACATATCTTTAATATCCTTATTGTTTTTTTGGCAGATTTTCAAAATCTGAAGTAAAATTGTTATCGCCTTGTCAAAAAATGAATTTTCAAAAAACTACAAAACTCCTATGATGTGATGAAAATATCGAATAATTTCTTCTAAATTTATTAAGTCCATCAAAAGATGAATTTCCTTATATTATGTCTTTTTTATGGAATGAATCATGGGTAATATTTTTCTATCTCACCTGCTGAAGAGCTCGCTATCCTAGCTGGGATCGGTAGCTCAAGTTAGGACAAGGATAGGATCATTTCGAGAATGGGTATTATCCTAACGGTAGGATGTCCTAACTTCTGTCTTAACTACTTAGGATCTATCTTAGCTGGGACACTTTCGAGAATACGGGCCCAGCAACTGAGGAAGAAGAAGAAGAAGGGTAAGAATTTTCGGGGCCAATTGGCTCTATGCCCGAAGCGTTTGCACCAGTAAGAGGAGAGAGGTTAACGCCCACGTCCATCAGAAGTTTGGGTCTGCTGCCACTTGAGCATTCTGCTCATGCAAAAGTTCCTGACGGGCTCGAATTATGGGTTGAACTGGCTCACGGGGAATGAGATGTTTAAGCAGCCGGAATTGGTCTCGGAGATTTTGCTCCGTCAGGTAAGCATACATGGGCATGGCATTGTCCAATGCAGCTTAAGCGACTTGCCATTGACACGTGGAATCGCAGGCCATCCTGCCGCTTTCGCACACTCCATTAGTGTGGTTTTAAGGTGCTTTGAATAAGATATTTTTGGTCGGGCTCTGTGTCTTCCCCTGTGGCAAGTCCCATCTCCAGTAAGGTTGGTGTCACTACCGTAGGAAGGCTGACTGGGCTGAGGAGTTGAGGGGTGGGGGGATACTCCTTGGCTTTCGGTAACCCAGTGGAAAACCAGCTTCGGGGGCCCAGCCCTAACTGGGTGATGTACGTTTGGTTCAGGGAATAAAGTTCCCCTATCTAGGCCCACCACGGACAGGCGTACATCATCAGGCCCATATTATTATTATGTTTTATAGATTAAAGATGAAAATGCAGCAGAGAGGGTGATCCTGGTACAGTCAGGCTGGTAAGGCTCACCATCAGCTCAGGGTCCTCGCCCCCTCTACACGCAGCCCAGACAGCGAATGGGACTTCTCCCAGGAAACACTGCCTAGTCGAACCCACCAAGAACTTTCCGGAGAATATGAAGGCTCCCCAACACTGCAGCCTTCTGCATTACCCAGAGGGTCAGAAGGGCTGTGCTCCCGGTGGAGAATCTGGGCACTCTCCTGATCTGCGCCAAGAGATCAGGAGGTACCAAACCTAGGGCACCGAGAACAATTGGGAGCCTGACGACAGTGTACTTGGGATGCAAGCGAGACATTTCAAAGGCGAGGTCCGCATATTTATCATGCTTTTCCTGAATCTTGCCAATCACGTTGCTGTCAAAAGGGACAGAAAATTCAATGATATAAATAAATTCATTGGCTTTATCAAAAAGGACAAGATCGGGTGTGTTGGCAGGAATTCTTCTGAGGCTGTATATGCCCGGGCCTATTCCACAGAAGTCTGAAAGCATCATTTTCCATGACGCCCTGGACATGTTCAGGGTCGTACCATGGATGGACCTCGGAGTCAAAGCCACAGACATGTCTGAGACGGTAGTAAAAGCAACGAGCCATGCCATCGTGTCGTTTAAGATATGCTGTTTGTGCTAAAGAAGGGGTTATTATTATTATTATCAATATGTTTTACAGATTAAGATGAAAAATGCAGCAGAGAGGGTTTGGGTGATCCTGGCACAGTCAGGCTGGTAAGGCTCATCATCAGCTCAGGGCCTTTGCCCCCTCTACACGCAGCCCAGACAGCGAATGGGACTTCTCCCAGGAAAGAACCCGCCAAGAACTTTCCGGAGAATATGTAGACTCCCCAACACTGCAGCCTTCTGCAGCGTTCTGCATTATTATAATAGGATATTTATATGGCGCACATATCCAGGCAACTAGTACATGCTCAAGGCGCCGGTATTTTTTCCCCTTGATCATTGGATGTCAATCTCATATGACGATGTGCATGCGTGTGTATGTGTGGCTGATTGTACTAGTCCAGACTTAAGCTGGTTTTATAGTGCTAGCTCACTGAGATACCATGCCGCAGTTAAGCGTGGATACCCCACTAGACACATTATACTGACTCCGAGCCGACCAGTCCTTGTTGTACCCATTAATGCCGAGCGCCAGGCAGGGACCAACAAGAACCATATTTAAACGTCTTTAGGTATGACGCGGCCGGGAATCGAACCTTCGACCTTCCGCTCTCCGGACGGACGCTCTAACCACTACACCACGGAGGCGGTCTCTTATATAAAGTATATCATTGTTTATAAACATAAAAACACTTACGTCACGCATTTCATTGCGTCAGGGTCGAACACATCTGTAATGTTACACCTTATCTCAACGGCCACTCCTTGCGAACACATCACGAAATAGAAGCAGGAATACTCATATATACCATCTGGTCGGCCAGTGCAGTCCAGTCCGGTGGTCACTGGAATGTGTAATTATACTGAATACGATGTTCACGCTAAATATGTAGCTGATCACTGCCAGTAGTACCTGGAGTAATATAACAGAAGAAACGTTGTTGGTGCTGTTGTTGTTGCTATGGTAGCTGCGTGGTTGGCGGAAATCGTAATAATTTTGGAGGGGGAGATTGCTTCGTGGGATGCAGCGGCTGCTGTAGTGGTGTCAGAAGTAAAGGATGCAGTTGCTGTCGTGGTAGGGGATGTAGTTGCTGTCGTGGTAGGGGATGTAGCAGCTGTCATGGTAGGGGATGTTATTGCAGTCTTGGTAGGAGGTGTAGTTGCTGTCATGGTAGGGGATGTAGTTGCTGTCATGTTAGGTGATGTAGTAGCTGTCATGGTAGGGGATGTAGTAGCTGTCATGGTAGGGGATGTAGTTAGCTGTCATGGTAGGGGATGTAGTTGCTGTCTGTGTTAGGGGATGTAGTTGCTGTCATGGTAGGGGATGTAGTTGCTGTCATGTAGGTGATGTAGTTGCTGTCATGGTAGGGATGTAGTAGCTGTCATGGTAGGGGTGTATGCTGTCATGGTAGGGGATGTAGTAGTCATGGTAGGGATAGGGGTATGTAGTAGCTGTCATGGTAGGGGATGTAGTAGCTGTCATGGTCATGGTAGGGGATGTAGTTGCTGTCATGGTAGGGGATGTAGTAGCTGTCATGGTAGGAGGCGTAGTTGCTGTCATGGTAGGGGATGTAGCAGCTGTCATGGTAGGGGATGTTGTTGCAGTCTTGGTAGGAGTTGTAGTTGCTGTCATGGTAGGGGATGTAGTAGCTGTCATGGTTGGTGATGTTGTTGCTGTCTTGGTAGGAAATGTAGTTGCTGTCATGGTAGGGGATGTAGTTGCTGTCATGGTAGGTGATGTAGTAGCTGTCATGGTAGGGGATGTAGTTGCTGTCATGGTAGGGGATGTAGTTGCTGTCATGGTAGGGATGTAGTTGCTGTCATGGTAGGGGATGTAGTTGCTGTCATGATGTAGCTGTCATGGTAGGAGTTGTAGTTGCTGTCATGGTAGGGGATGTAGTTGCTGTCATGGTAGGGGATGTTGTTGCTGTCTTGGTAGGAGTTGTAGTTGCTGTCATGGTAGGGGATGTAGTTGCTGTCATGGTAGGGGATGTAGTAGCTGTCATGGTAGGGGATGTAGTTGCTGTCTTGGTAGGAGATGTAGTTGCTGTTGTGGTAGGGGATGTAGTTGCTGTCATGGTAGGTGATGTAGTAGCTGTCATGGTAGGGGATGTAGTTGCTGTCGTGGTAGGGGATGAAGTTGCTGTCATGGTAGGGGATGTAGTTGCTGTCATGGTAGGGGATGTAGTTGCTCTCATGGTAGGGGATGTAGTTGCTGTCATGGTAGGGGATGTAGTTGCTGTCATGGTAGGGGATGTAGTTGCTGTCATGGTAGGGGATGTAGTAGCTTTCTTTGTAGGGGATGTAGTAGCTGTCATGGTAGGTGATGTAACTATCATGGTAGGAGTTGTTGTTGCTGTCTTTCTAGGAGGTGTAGTTGCTGTCGTGGTAGGAGATGTAGTTGCTGTCGTGGTAGGGGATGTAGTAGCTCTCATGGTAGGGGATGTAGTAGCTGTCATGGTAGGGGATGTAGTTGCTGTCGTGGTAGGGGACTAATATCAAATCAAGTTAGTGAGTGAGTGAGTGAGTGTGTTGGGTTTTACGCCGCTTTTAGCAATATTCCAGCAATATCACGGCGGGGGACACCAGAAATGGGTTTCACATATTGTACCCATGTGGGGAATCGAACCCAGGTCTTCGGTGTGACTAGCGAAAGCTTTAACCACTAGGCTACCCCACCGCCCCTATCAAATCAAGGATCATAATCCGAATATACTGGAATTCGATCTCACTTTCACCACGTTTAAGCATGTAGACGTAGTTGTGGTAGCAGTGACAGGTAAAAGACGTACCTGCAATGACGCCCAACAGAACAATCCACAACAGCATACCTGGTCGGGACGACTTATTCAGTAGCGCTACAATAGGTAACTAACAGGCCGATGAGCGTCTGCGTTTTGTGGGGAGAAGCATGCGTGAATGTCGTTGTGAAATGAGATAAGACCTGCACCTGTTACATTATGAGGTCATACAGTCACTACACGAAGGAATAGAATTTCCAAAAACTTATCCATGCCAGGAAATACATGTATCATCCGAGGTCCATATGGCCACTCTTATCACGGATGGGACTCAATAACATGTTACATTTGACCAATTTCTAATATGTATAGTGTTAGACTAACGCTTAGTGTCTGAATTTTAATTGTAACAACTAAAACCGTTTAAATTGAAAAGGAGCCCCACAGAGACGAACCTGATCAAATCTAGATTGCTTCATTTAGGGCTTTAGCATTGCAGGGAGGGCGAGGCTGTACGGAATATAATATTGTTCAGGGACTGTGAGAAAAAAAAAAGTAATGCCAGAAATGCTTGGAAAATGCTTTTTGGCAATTATTTGATAATGGTTGATATTTCAGATTCAAAACTCATATATAATCATGTATACCACCTCGACCTAATATGGTATATGAGTAATCACGATGTACCCTTCCCTAATCATAATGATTACTCGTAAAATATCGAAAAACATGGTAGAAACACTTCTAAGACTGACTGACTGATGTTTAGTTTTACGCCGCTTTTAGCAATATTCCAGCAATATCACGGCAGGGGACACCAGAAATGGGCTTCACACATTGTGCCCATGTGGGGAATCGAACCCGGGTCTTCGGCGTGACGAGCCAACGATTTAACCACTAGGCTATCCCACCGACCCACACTTCTAAGAAACAAACTATATTGTGACTCACCTGGCAGACAGTCAGGGTGACAGCGTTCATGTAACGCATGGGCAGTACATGTCAGGGACCGTCTCAAAATATCAAGTGTCGGTATCACTGCTGGTCGAGGACTCTAGCGGAATTACAACAGGTGCAACTCGGCTGACGTTATTGCCGTCCCGCAGACGGTATTCGTCCTCGATTTTGAGAACACGGTCTTGAGCCTTTTGCCACACTTCTGGGGTAATTCTCGCAAAAGAAGCATACACAAGCTCTTAAACGTCTGAAAGCTTGAATGTGGTATTATTGGGAGCAATAAAATTCTTACAGTTACCCCAGATCAGCTCGATGGGATTGAGCTCACAGTGCCGTACTGGTGTACGCAGAACTATGTGGCCTTGTTTTGCTAGTTCGTCAGTGATGTACTGGATTGGCTTTTAGTGCTACCGGATGTTTTCTATGAGCTGGGGCTTTGTTTGTGATTGCCAGTAAGGCACGTTACAGTAAGTGAGAAAATCCTGCAACTGAGCCCTGAGATTGTTCATGGTGGGTGTTAATGCTAAATACAAGTTATGTTATTAAATCAGTAATGTTCAGCATTGTTAAACCAGGCATGTATGAGTGTCTTGTACGGTGGCCTAGTGGTTAACACACTAGACTTGAAATCCAAAGTGCTAGGGTTCAAATCCAGCTTAATGATAAAAAACTTTTGGAAATATATAGTGAGTGAGCGAGTTATTATTTAACGTCACATCGGCAATATTGCAGCCATATCGTGACGAGAACATATTTGAATTTGAAGTGGAATATATGTATATTATACAAACCTGGCGACGAAGGACAGTAAAACAACTAGAATATCACAATTAGAATTAAAACTAGCGTGGAAAGTTTAAAACTAATAGCACTATTGGGACAATACAATATACAAAAAAGGCTAGAGATCGCCAACTGAAGGTAGATCACCATACAGTACCTTTGTTACCTGCATGGACTGTAAATATATAGCCTCACTTCATATTGATGATCACATGACCTAACCCTTGCACAAAATCTTCATGCAAAGTCTGATTCACTTTGATATCCACATCGCCTGGAAATTCAACCCACCTTCAGCCAGTCATAGGGAGGTGTATGGGAACGGCTGATAGGGTCTGTCCGTAGTGTTCTCAACCCACTTCTCCAAGAATCCAGTCAACGCCTTGATGATGAGCTGTATAGAACACTCCTGTGTGAAGTTTAGTCGATCTGGAATTATAGGCCTCTGACAACAATGTCCAGTGATCTGTCAGATGTAGAACCTTTGACACCCAACCATTTGCTGATGGTAAGATCCAGTGCTTACATTCCACCACCTGGAGTATTTCAGGCATCTGATGTCTACGCATGCCGCCGATGGAGACGTGTACAGTACTTGGCAGAGCTTTTCTGGAGTAGATGGAGAAAGGAGTACCTTTTAACGCTTCAGAAACGTCAGAAATGGCAAGCTCCTAAAAGGAACGTCAAGATAAACGATATTGTTCTGGTCAAGGACGATAACCTCCCCAGGAATGCTTTGCTCATGGCGCGCGTAGTGGACACTGAACCAGACGGTCGTGGTTTTGTCAGAAGTGTGACCCTCAAGACAAGAGGCTCAGATCTCCGAAGGCCAATTCACAAACTAGTCTTGCTCATACCTGCTGCAGAATAAGTTCATTATCTCAGGTAGTAAGTGTTGTCAAGACCAGTTAGAGGTATTTCGCATTATTGTATTGTTTTGTCTTAAACACCCTAGGTGTGTTTAACGGGCCGGGTGTGTTAATGCTAAATACAAGTTATGTTATATTCAGTAATGTTCAGCATTGTTAAACCAGGCATGTATGAGTGTCTTGTATGGTGGCCTAGTGGTTAACACACTTGACTTGAAATCCAAAGTGCTAGGGTTCAAATCCAGCTTAATGATAAAACTTTTGTAAATATATAGTGAGTGAGCGAGTTATTATTTAACGTCACATCGGCAATATTGCAGCCATATCGTGACGAGAACATATTTGAATTTGAAGTGGAATATATGTATATTATACAAACCTGGCGACGAAGGACAGTAAAACAACTAGAATATCACAATTAGAATTAAAACTAGCGTGGAAAGTTTAAAACTAATAGCACTATTGGGACAATACAATATACAAAAAGGCTAGAGATCGCCAACTGAAGGTGAAGGTAGATCACCATACAGTACCTTTGTTACCTGCATGGACTGTAAATATATAGCCTCACTTCATATTGATGATCACATGACCTAACCCTTGCACAAAATCTTCATGCAAAGTCTGATTCACTTTGATATCCACATCGCCTGGAAATTCAACCCACCTTCAGCCAGTCATAGGGAGGTGTATGGGAACGGCTGATAGGGTCTGTCCGTAGTGTTCTCAACCCACTTCTCCAAGAATCCAGTCAACGCCTTGATGATGAGCTGTATAGAACACTCCTGTGTGAAGTTTAGTCGATCTGGAATTATAGGCCTCTGACAACAATGTCCAGTGATCTGTCAGATGTAGAACCTTTGACACCCAACCATTTGCTGATGGTAAGATCCAGTGCTTACATTCCACCACCTGGAGTATTTCAGGCATCTGATGTCTACGCATGCCGCCGATGGAGACGTGTACAGTACTTGGCAGAGCTTTTCTGGAGTAGATGGAGAAAGGAGTACCTTTTAACGCTTCAGAAACGTCAGAAATGGCAAGCTCCTAAAAGGAACGTCAAGATAAACGATATTGTTCTGGTCAAGGACGATAACCTCCCCAGGAATGCTTTGCTCATGGCGCGCGTAGTGGACACTGAACCAGACGGTCGTGGTTTTGTCAGAAGTGTGACCCTCAAGACAAGAGGCTCAGATCTCCGAAGGCCAATTCACAAACTAGTCTTGCTCATACCTGCTGCAGAATAAGTTCATTATCTCAGGTAGTAAGTGTTGTCAAGACCAGTTAGAGGTATTTCGCATTATTGTATTGTTTTGTCTTAAACACCCTAGGTGTGTTTAACGGGCCGGGTGTGTTAATGCTAAATACAAGTTATGTTATATTCAGTAATGTTCAGCATTGTAAAACCAGGCATGTATGAGTGTCTTGTATGGAGGCCTAGTGGTTAACACATTGACTTGAAATCCAAAGTGCTAGGGTTCAAATCCAGCTTAATGATAAAACCTTTTGTAAATATAAAGCCTCACTTTCATATTGATGATCACATGACCTAACCCTTGCACAAAATCTTCATGCAAAGTCTGATTCACTGTGATATCCACATGGTCACTTGGCTGTCTGCAAACCTCTCTGTATAGCAACACAAATGTGAATACTTTTAATCATATCTTGTGAGCTTTACGTGATATTTGAATAGAATATGTTGTAGAATTTATCTTTTGGAATATTTTGATTATTATTATTGTGTAATTTTGATAAAAGCTGCTATTGAAGCACGTTATTGAAATGCATTGTCTGACAATCTTTGATATCTGCAGAGATATCAAATCGCATGTCGCCAGTTCAGTGCTCATACACGAAGTGAAACTTTTATGGGTGAACAAGGTTATCTATGCGATTTAAATTAAGACTTTTTTAAGGTAATTAGTTTAGGCTATATGAATAATTATAGCCTGTATTTCAAAACTACAGTTTGTACTTAGAATATTTACGAATGTTGTTAAAACGTCAAAATTTCCTCCTGTGATGTCACCCCTCAAGTGCATTTTTTCATCTGAGCTTTAATATCCAACTAGGTAGAGTCGTACATGTATCATATATGTGCTTTTATCAAATTCATCATATTGATATTGAAGCCAAAAAGCATTTTCGGCATTACTTATTTTTTTAATCTATCGTCTTCCTGTACCTTCCTGTATACGTAAACACATTTATAACTGTATTAACCTCAAACGTGGTGGGAACACGCAACCCGTGAAGATCCGGGTTAGAATTGGTCTTCAGTAACCCATGCTTGCCCTAAGAGGCGACTAACGGGATTGGATGGTCAGGCTCGCTGACTTGGTTGACACGTGTGATCGTGTCCCAAATGCGTATATCGAGGCTCATGCTGCTGATCACTGGATTGTCTGGTCCAGACTTAATTATTTACAGACCGCCTTCATATAGTTGGAACACGCCCAATGGAACCTGTTTGGGGCAGATAATCGAGGTTGGTTACTTTCTCTTGACGTTATATCTTTAACAGTTTGGTGCAATATATATAGAATGAAACGGTTGCTTCTTTCTGCTTGGTGTATGTTGATCGTTGCTACGTGACCACCAGCAGTTACTGGTGCACCGGGGCGTAGGGGTAGCCAAGTGTTTAAAGCGTTCGCTCGTCACGCTGAAGACCCGGGATCGATTCCCCACATGGATATAATTTGTGAAGCCCATTTCTGGTGTCCCCCGCAGTGATATTGCTGGAAAATTGCTAAATGCGGCGTAAAACCGAATTCACTCACTACTGGTGCACCGAGGTCATTTTTACTGTTATCATTATCCGCCATCACAATATTCGAAAATCAAGGTGTATGGTCTCCCAAGGTAACATTGTGCGTGATAAAAAGGATTGTAGGACACTCGTAACAGCTGCTTGTCTTATCTAATTTCACAATTGCACTCGTGCTTGTGGCTTCCCATGAAGGGCAGACATACTTATCCTGGTAGTTACCTGCTGTATTTCAACTGAACATGTCAGACATGCTGTTCTTGACCGTTCTGCTTGGAATCATTGCAGGTACGTAATATAACGTGAAACTGCTACAACAATTACATCTACGTGTGATGTGAGAGTGAGTGAGAGTGAGTGAGTGAGGTTTTTCGCCGCTTTTAGCAATATTCCAGCAATATCACGGCGGGGGATACCAGAAATGGGCTTCACACATTGTACCCATGTGGGGAATCGAACCCGGGCCTTCGGCGCGACGAGCGAACGCTTTAACCACTAGACTACCCTACCGCCCACTTATTGAGGGGCATTTAGGATTTGGAGTGAGTGAGGTGGGTAACGGAAGGATTTGGAGCTATCAAACCAAGGATCAAAATGAGAATATACCGAAATTCGGTCCCGAGACCGGCAGGGGTTCATAACAATGTATGAATGGACAACTTCTTTATTACAGTGAGATCGACGTTGTAGGTTCTAAGCTCGTTATCAAGCAAGTGGTGAACCAATTTAAGATTGAGATCATGTATACAAGTGTGGGAAAGTGTTTATACAGTACAGTAAGGACTGGAATAGCATAGGGAAGCCAGTTAACTACACATCGCTCTAAATTCTAAAGGGGCGGTTGGGTAGCCTAAAGGTTAAAGCGTTCACTGTTTGTTACGAGGGAGGAGTGCAGAGAAAGGGACAGCCAGGTGTTCGCGAAAGGATGGAGACGGCACAGCACAGGTTAATGAATCAATAACTTTGTCGGTACTTGTGCACGTGCTTCTCTAACACCTGACTGTCCCTTTCTCTGTATTCCTCCCTCGTAACAAATAGTGAACTGTGTCAATATTTTAATGATAGTTTGTTAAACAACTTTTTAATTTTTAGGACATAAATTCTGCAAACATATCACAGAGTTGGTCTGATGTTTTGATTATGATCAGCGTTTCATTGAGTATTATATATTTATTAGTTTTCGAGTTAGATTGCAATTCATCGGTCCGCTTTTGAGCCAAACGCACTATAGTGCATTTGGATGTTTTGTATCGAACGAGATGTCATGGGAGCAGAGAAACAACGAACTTCGAACTCCTTGTTTCTCTGCTCCCATGACATCTTCTCGTTCTTCGAACTCCTTGTTTCTCTGCGCCCATGACATCTCGTTCAATACAAAACATTCTAATGCACTAGAACGACGCTCTATATTTATTATATGCCCTCTTATCTTGCATTAATCTGTTACTTGATAAAACAAATCATAGCGTAGCAATGTAGAACCGGCAGGGGTCCAATAAGGAATCTGGGATGCAATACGGAATTTGACCACGTCATCCGTAATGCACCCCTGTATTACTAACCTAAGTTTACATGGGTATATAATAAAATGTGTGAAGCCCATTTCTGGTGTCCCCTACCGTGATATTGCTGGAATATTGCTAAAAGCGGCGTAAAACTAAACTCACACGCTCTTCTCCGTCCCATCCGTCTACCCTCTCCTACCACTTCTGCTCTTCTTCACCTTCGTCTGCCATTACAGCTGTTTTCTTCCGTCATATTGCTCTCGGTACCACTGGCAATGGATTTCTGCGTCTTCGGCGTGATCATTGTATTCAGTACAATTAAACATTCCAGTGACCGCCGGCTTAGACTGTACTGGCCAACCAAATGGCATATATGAGTACACCTGCTTCTCATACGTGACTTGTTACCAAGGCGTGGCAACTGAGATCCTGTGTAACAGTACAGATGTGTTCGATCCTGACCAAGCGAGATGCGTGACGTAAGTAATTATGCTATTTTCTTCTGTCATCATGTTAGCAATGTTGGTCGACACGGCATGCAGGCTACTTATGGGATAACTGTACTGTACTTGACAAATCAATATATGAGCGGCAAATCGTGAATCAAGCTGTCAAAATCATATCTGACCGTACTCACTACTTAAATTCGGAATACAACCTTCTCCCCCTCAGGCCGCCGCTACATAGTTCCAATTGTGAAAACTAAGAGAGCCCGTACATCCTTTATTCCAAGTACCATATCTCTCTTAAGCAAATGTGAAGATGCCTAAATCAAAGAATTTATGTAAACATGTTTGGTATCTCTCTAATGTGTCAGTAGCTCTGCTGATGTAACACAAATTCATGAAAAGGCATTAAAGTATTATTCTATTCTATTCTATTCTATATCGGTGGTTATATAGCCGCAAATTTAGTTATATCGGCGACGGTATACGTCCTCAATTCGGCAAACACAGTATAGTTATCCCCATTCAAATTCAACTCGCTTTATGCTGTTTTTTTCATGAAAGAAATTCATTATTTAAACCAGATCAACGTTCTTCTAGGTCAAAGGTTAATCATATCACTCATTGAACTTACACCATCGCCAGAAAAAGTAGTTCCTTTTCAAACTTCAACACGTTTATTATGTGCACACTGACTAAATCTGACAATGATGAATAAATTATAGTGTTGTAGCTAAAATGAACGGAATTATCCTGAAACCGCCCTCTAGTTATCAGAAAGGAGCGGCCGCTGCAAATGATTGTGATTCCTTAAGCTGGGCCCCGTCTCGCATATCGCAATATACGAACGTCAGTGCGCGCAAAGGGAGCCGGGAACCAGGTTAAGTGATTCCTCAACTACTGGCCACTATCTGTTCTGTTGTCAAATGAAGTTCGTCACGCTCCATAATGACGTCATAAATCTTGTTTCATGCCAAACAGTGTCTAAGTTCTAAGTTGTTTGAACTCAAAACTTATGATACTGTTGTGTCTTTTTTAACAGCGGGAAAGGGTGAAACGACCTAGGGCTTCTGCATAATGACACAGCGCTACCCCAATAGTGTAGGGATACATAAATCTTCCGTTATGCTGATTATACGGCCGGATCATTGACCAATCAGACCTCGTGTTACATACTAAGTTAAATTGGAATACCATATATCGATGCATTCTTATTTGATGACGTCATAATGACGCAGTATCTTTATGACGAAGTATCATTATGACGTTTGTGTATTGCGTAAACATATCATTGTTGACAAGAGACAAAGGCTTTCATAACCATAGGAAATCTCTGCACAGTGTAGAGTGTATTGTACGATTCTGACGATATCATGAGCGTCATCCGTGAAGACCCGGGTTTGAATTTGTCTTCAAGAGCCCTTGCTTGTCGTAAGTGGCGACTATTGGGTCCGGGTGGTATCCAAAAAAAACAACAACCCCAAAACCAAAAAAACAACAACAACATTCCAACTCTTGGAATGATCATGCAAAGGAACAATTACATGCAATTCTCATTGAAACTGCTCGTTTCCACTGTTTTGGGCATCTATCTTCACCACCAGCCCTGTTGACGGGTTCTGGCCATGCGCTGATGTTGTCAACTGCATGAACCAAGCCGATAACAGATACCCTGACTACAACAACGGCTGCCATACCTACTACACCTGTCACAAAGGATTCTTCCTGGGACACAACTTCTGTCCTCCGTGTAAGTAACTACAGTCTGTTTGCTACAAAAAGCGTTTTTGATGGTCCAGAACCAACAACCGTCACTGGTACTGTCATATCTGTCCACTCTGATGATTCAGATTCCAGTCATAGTACGAATTTAGTGATTAAATTTTTGAGGTGACCCATTGCTGTTCTTGCGTTTGCCTTTACTCCCTTGTTGTAAATGTGTACAGGATATAAACATTTACATGATGACATCAAATTTCACATGTTATTGGATATATAGCGAATTTATGAACTGCAGCGGTGGGACAGCCTAGTGGCTAAAGCGTTCGCCCGTCACGCAGAACACCCGGGTTCTATTCCACACGTGAGTACAGTGTGTGAAGCCCTTTTCCGCCCTGATATTGCTGAACATATGCTAAAAGCGGCGGAACACCACACTCACTCACTTGAAATGAACATATATATACATACTACATTGTAAAACAGTGAATTTGTGTATGATTCGATACCGTTTCCGTGTGAGGTACGCATCGTCAAAAGTGAAAATGTCTCTCTTCCATTCCAACCCTTCTTAAAATAGATATATTCCGGCTCTCGGCACCTTCCGTGAAAAAGTAAACGACTCAAAGATTAACAGTATGTTAGAATGTCATAGGGTAATTATATTGGAACAATTGTTTTCAGCATCAATGTAGTACCAACACGGTCTTCAGCAACCCATGCTTGTCGTAAGAGGCCATTAACGGGATCGGGTTGTCAGGCTCGCTGACTTCGTTGACACATGTAATCGTATCCCAATTTCGTAGATCGATGTTCATGTTGTTGATCACTGGATTGTCTGATACAGATTCGATTCTTTACAGACTGCCGCCATATAGCTGGAATATTGCTGAGTGGGGCGCTAAACAAAAAGCCAACTAGTACCAATACCTTCAATTTCTGTTTCAGCTCTTGTGTTCGACTTTAATCATCAGCTCTGCAACTGGCACTTCAACGTCGTACCGCCCTGTGGGACGTGTACTGATCCCGAATGTTTGGTGTAGTAAATGATGACACAGGATGGGAGTCTGACGTCTTTTGTGATGTTGGTGATGGCCAGGGGCTTGCAACGCAAACGAGTGAGCGAGTATGGTTTTACGCCGCTTTTAGCAATATTCCAGCAACATCACGGCGGGGGACACCAAAATAGGCTTCACACATTTTACCCATGTGGGGAATCGAACCCGGGTCTTCTGAGTGACGAGCGAACGCTTTAACCACTGGGCTACCCCGCCGCCCCTCGCAAACAAGTGGCATCAAGATGTACATTGTCGGTGTCAGGATCTTGGCACTATATAATAGGGACAGGATGTAACCAGGTCAACACACTAAGTTTGTTCCAGGACAAGTTCAGCAATGGTCTTTGTAAATACCAACATAAAACCTACACGCATTTCAAGCCAAGGCACTGTCAGCGCTCAAGTCGCCAGTAGTGGAACCACCTTCCGATGTCATTTTCTCCTCCACACACAGAAGTGTCGAGAAGTCAGTCTACTCCTAGAAAACACTGTAGAAAGCAATCTTGTGCCAGATACCGCCAATGTCTAGCTGGCAATCTTGGTAGAACAACAACATCTACAACCTTTGGACTGAGTGAATGTGTTTAGTTTTACGCCGCTTTTAGCAATATTCCAGCAATATTACACCAGAAATGAGCTTCAAACATTGTGCCCATGTGGGGAATCGAACCCGGGTCTTCGGCGTGACGAGCGAACGCCTCAACCACTAGGCTACCCCACCGCCCCTACAACCTTTGGAAGGCCTACCTACAAATGTAGACGAATTATACCTGTTTGGCTACCTGCGTTTGCAAGAATGCCAAAGTATCCTGTACGACTGGAAAGGAAGGGGAGGTTCTCGTAGTTTCCAGAATCGCCATCGCAGTACATGAGTCCTTGGCGACTATAGAACCAAAATATATGCAAACAAACAGAAACACACACAGAGACAACTTCCGACATGGCATAGACAGAGGGCTTCGAGATCCTGCTAGAGAAGTATCCCCATCTATTCCTCTCCGACAAAGAGAAACAAATCCTTGAGCGATCGGAACACACCTTCTACAAGCGGTACCAGATCCGTCAACAGTTTTGCAAAGTCTATTTGCTGTTCTTTCAACGATTCGTAGAAGACGGCAAAATAGTCGATGTGGTCTATCTCTATCTGGAGCGAGCAATCTCCGACTCGTTCTCTCCAAGGACAGAAGCCAACTGGAAGCCAAGGACAGATACCACCAATGCACCGACTGCCTTGCCGCTCTACCACCAGTGCCTACCCTCTTTGAGCACGTCAACTCGGCGGGTGCCACAGACCATTGCATTCGCAGCAAGAAATGCATTCTATGGAAAAACAAAGAGACGCTTTATACATCCCCGGATTGACTCCCACTCGAGCTGCTGAACCAAATCACAATCTCCGGCTGTTTCGAGAACATAGAGAGCCTCTGCGGTAACGACTGCCTCTGCTGGTGCATATACTACAAACTCCTCCTCAACCGTTTGGTAGAGAACTGCCTTGCCCAATTACGACAGGCAAGTGGCAGCACCACCATGCAACAAACACCGAAATGGGTCACACGTTCCAAAGGGAATCTGTACATGCAAAATGTTTGCCGTATTGAAATACAAATGTAAAAGGGGAGAACAGATTGTTGCTGTTGCCAACTGCTGTCTATGGCTACAAGTTACGAGAACCGATTCGAGACAATGGTGGAATAGAACGCTTATGGTCGGTGGGTGGGCTATTTCTGTGTAGACTTGGCAAAGTCTGCTACTCGCCCATTTCGGAAAAGAAAGACGATCTTCCCAGAGAGTCGAAGTACCTGTAGAGACCAAGTGGGTATAGCTTCTATCTAGTCACAAAAAAATAACAACATGCAAACATACATACGAAAACACACACATATTTTTTCTAGTCCATGTAAAAAGGGGTGCCCAGGGTGGATCGTACAAACTGGTTTGGACGTTGCTGTCATCTCGTTGGCCTGCGTGTTGGATGGTGTGCAGTGTTTCCAGGTTGTCCACACGACCTTCCAGACAAACACGGCAGCTAGCGAAAGGTAGGTCAACTTTTGTGCCAATTCTATCATCTGCCCTCACCTTCTGGATATCCAGATGGGTCTCTGTTCCTCCTCTATGCTTTCTATTTCCTGACAGAATTCATCGTTGTCCAGCCTAGACAAGATGTCGACCAACATAGTCATGGTTAGCTCCACACAAGCCAACAACATCATCGTGGTTTGCTCCGCACGGACTTCGATCCTCCTCAGACTGTTGTTGAAGTCATGGATGGTGGGCGACGTCGGTTTTGGATCTATCTCGCCGGCGGTCAAGAGGCCGACGGTTCTGCAGATGGCTCTCGCCATAGCTCGTAGACCCTTTTGGACCGAAGCGCCTTTTGGCCTCTGTCTGCTGGGACTACTCTGAGAAGGGCGCGGATTTCTTGGGTCAGGCCTGGAGACAAATCTCTTTTTGGTGACATGGTGTTTTTTCCTGGGTGGAAAAAATAGGTTGAGTAGTCTTAGCCATGTGGAAAAACTACATTTCCTATTCCTAGACATGTCGGAAAATGGGATTTCCATATAGGCATGTGGGGAGTATATAAACCCAGGAAAAACACCATGCCACCAAAAAGAGATTTGTTCGACATTGAAGACCTTGGCATTGACCTGCTCCGCACTGAAAAGAGCCAGTGATATGATGGGACATATATGTTTAGCCATTCAGATGGCTAGCTCTTTTCGGTGCGGAGTAGACCAAAAACAGACGCATGCAGTAGGGCGGCGTCACACTCAAATCTGGCACCAAATCAGCAGACTGCTCACCAAAACAGCCAACTTAGACGTTTCTTTCATCTCAGACAGAACCCTGAAACACCCGTTCCACCCAGCCCACCCCAAACCACAGGTAATGTGTGTATAATACATCAAGCAACTGCGGAGACAGATACACAGGAGACACATTGCGCCATAAAGCCACCCGAACGAAAGAACACAAGACCTTTGCTGAAAAATCTGACCTGAAATTCGATAAAAGATTCTGGCTCCATATTTCTTGACAACAAACCAAGTTTATCCAAATCGATCATTGGAAAAAAAAGAAAGTTATAGAAAGCACTGAAATTAAAAGAAGGAAGCCATGAACCGAGACCAAGGCATTTACCTTCCCAGTGTGTACTCCATTGTGTTACATAATACTGTCATCCTCCACTGTGCGCTTGTTGTTTGCCCCTGATGCATGACAATAAACAGCCATTGTCATCACTATACCTAACTGAACCCCAGCCACAACCTGTTAATGTCATCTTACTTGTCACTACATTATTATCTTTGCACAATAAGCCTCATCGCCACACCACACCACACCACACCCACCTCAACATCAACTTCAATTCAGTTTAGCTGGAACATCATCAATTCTCCTAACCCTCCAACACAATACAACAAATAACATAACAACACGTTCTGCAATTCTACTAACCAATTCTATCCTGGGCCTGAAGACTATGAATGTCATCAGCGTAGGCAATCTCAAAGACAACAACAAAGAGAATAAGTCAATCAGTATTTCATATTGATTACCAACATGTCAAAGGTTAAGGCTCTCTCGCCAAACATACCCCCTGGAATCCGGCTGGGTACATAAGCTTCCTTGTGTCTAGGTAAATACACGAAATCAAGCACTTCAGGTATGAAAGTTTCCTTCGGGCACAACAATAACCAGTAACTGGCAGAGTACCACGCAGGTACAACCAAAGTACCTTTAGCTTTGCAAACCTTCATATGAGCCAGAACTCTACAAACACATATATATGCAGGCGGCTCAATCCAGTTGTTAGTATCACCGCAAAGCTCAGTGAACGCATCTATTGTAACCCATCCTTGATCCCAGAATACTGAACAGAAAGTTGAGACTTTTGCGTTGTAATGAGAAGCAAATCTGTCGACATCAACGTCCGTACAACCAGGAATTATTGAGAATTTAAAGATTGTAAATTTTTAATTTTTTTTCACTCATTACTCACGTATTAAATGTGAATATTAGCAGAACATAACTCCAGATTCAAAGACAGGTGAACAGTTAGTATTTTGTCAAGTCACCATGGGCAGCAATGCAGGCTTCAATGCGGCGGGGCATACTACTGATCAAAGAAGTTAGAAAGTCGTGGTCCATGCTGTCCCAATATCGGACCACCTCTTCTTTCATTTCAGCAGTATTTGTCAGATTTTTCTTATTGACACTTTCCTTCATAAGTCCCCAAACATTTTCTATTGGATTTAGGTCAGGGCTATAGCTTGGCCAATCTAATAATGTCATATTTTGGGTCTGAAACCAGGCCTGTGAATGCTTTGAACGATGTTTTGGGTCGTTGTCCTGCTGGAAAATCAAACAATTTCCATAGAACACGTGAGCAGATGGAAGTAAATGTCCCTCGAGAATATCTGTGTACCGCTCACTGTTCATATTCCCTTCAAATACACAGAGGGCGTTGCCCTAACACAGATATGCCACCCCACACGTTAAATTTCGGACTGTACTTTGGGCGCTGATACAAAGGTTTTCAGTTTGTTTGGTCCAGAATTTCAGTGTATTAGGAAACAGCCACACAGAACTTTCATCTGAGAAAATCACATTGTCCCAGTTAAAATTTCTATGCTGTAAGCACCAGTTCAACCTTCACTCCTTTTGTTCAGGTTTCATGATCGGTGATGGAATTCCTCGACTTTTCTGCCAACCCATTGCATGCAGCTCAGTTCTAATTGTCTCCTTACAGACAGCCACAGTTCCTCTATCAATCATATCCAGCCTTAAGTTTTCTAAACTCCTTCGTTTGTTTTTAGAAACAAGAATACCAAGCCGCCTCCTGTCACCGACAGTCAATTTTCTGGGCCTACCTGCGCCTCCTGGTGCTCAATGCCATATCCATTTGCAATATTTTCAAAAACACGATAAACAGTGGACAAAGGGATGCCTGTTCTACTTGAAATCACTTTAGCTGATCTGATGTCCTTGTTATAATACT